TGATTTCAGACGCGACAAAAACACATATGATTGACAAGGCTTATCGACGCGGGAACCGGCTAGTCGATTTTGTAAACTCTGTATAGAAAAACAGGTATTCCGATAACTAAGAAGCTACATAAGGACACCCCCCTCCCATTGAAGGAGGACACCGACAGATAATCCTGGTGGTCTTTGTTGTTCCATCTATCATGAGTGTCAGTGATGCACGCAAACCTGAGGAACACCTCATTTCATCGTTAAAACTTGTTAAAACAGCCTTACCTTAAGTGAACCCTATTTAAACTGAGCTTTTGGGGGACTTCGGCTTATAATGATTATAAATCAACACCAACGATTTCTCTTCATTATTATTCTGTATGAACAACTAGACACTCAGGAAAACAAATTAAAATGTAGCCCACCAACAAAAGCAAGGAAAAAGTCACAGGGGGATGGATAGGACAAACCAACTGAAGTAAAATATATTTTCCCATGTTAAGTTTAAAATGCTAACTAACAGCTACTGCTGCCGCAGCGGTAAATTATAAGTCGATAACTAAGAAGCCGCAATAAGACACCCCCTCCCATGCCCATGGAAGGAGGACAGCGCGAACTAACAAGCATAATAGGTGGAACAGGATAGACCACCGGGAAAGCAGTTTCTGCAAGGATTGGCCAGAACAACATGTTTGAGAAGCAAGTCTCCCTATTGACAGTGATGACCTTTAATCAGTATTGGCCGGGCATGCCCGCGCTGCGTAAGCCCAGCATTACGAAGGACGGATAGATAGATAGCATTAACAACTGTGTTGTCAATCCTAAGACCGCTACACTTAAAATGCTGTTGACCCTATCTAGAGTGAGGATTCTGGCGAATAATGATTTCTAAATCAACACCAACAATCACCTGTTTCAAGTTGATACCTTTCTTCCAACACTAAAGATAATTGTTCTCATCTACATGTAGAGATAGTATCATCATTCCACAATCATCATTACTTAGTATGATCGACTAGACAAGAAAAAAGGGCAAAATACTGTCCACCCACAGAAGCATAGAAAGAACTTGGGGGATGAAAAGTAAACACAAAATAAGATATATTATCTCATCTTGAATTTTGAAATGCTAACTAACAGCTATTGCTGCCACAGCGGTAAATTATATAAGTTATATACAGATAAATTACTGCCACAGAACAACAGACTTCTATTAACCGGACCTCATCCCACAACCACATATTAATGCCACCCCGTAGTCAGTCTATTCGACACGCACAACTTTGTGGCTTATGCAAGATATAGTCTGATTTGCGTGCGTCAAAGATTGATTTCAGACGCGACAAAAAACACATATGATTGACAAGGCTTATCGACGCGGGAACCGGCTATTCGATTTTGTAAACACTGTATAGAAAAACAGGTATTTCGATAACTAAAAAGCTACATAAGGACACCCCCCCCTCCCATGAACCACCGACAGTTATCTTCTACTAAAAAAAAAAACTAGTCATTATGCAGAGACAACACATGTAATGACAATCGGCATGTCAACAGCGGTAAATTATAAATCATTTACAGATACATTACTGCCACAGAACGACAGACTTCTATTAACCGGACTTCATCCCACAACAACATATTAATGCCACCCCGTAGATAATCTATTGGACACGCGTTACTTTGTTGGTTATACAAGATATAGTCTGATTTGAGTGCGTCAAAGATTGATTTCAGACGCGACAAAAACACATATGATTGACAAGGCTTATCGACGCGGGAACCGGCTAGTCGATTTTGTAAACTCTGTATAGAAAAACAGGTATTCCGATAACTAAGAAGCTACATAAGGACACCCCCCTCCCATTGAAGGAGGACACCGACAGATAATCCTGGTGGTCTTTGTTGTTCCATCTATCATGAGTGTCAGTGATGCACGCAAACCTGAGGAACACCTCATTCATCGTTAAAACTTGTTAAAAACAGCCTT